TACTACGCTGCAATTGCTGGGTGCATATAAAACTAAAACAAGTTTAGTTTTATAAAAAACTGCCAAACTGTTTTCCAGTGTGGCTGAACAATTTTATATTCTTAACAACATATGAGTGATCCAGTTTCACCACATTCTCTTTTGATGACATCCATGTTTATCATTTTTTTCTTCCATATATCATGCTTTTTGTGTCTAGTCTAAGAAATCTTTGCTTAGCCCAAGATCCTAAAATTTTTCTCTATTTTTTTTTCTGTAAATTATATAGCTCTGTTTTTAAACTTAAACCTGCAATCTATTTGGATTTAATTTTTTGTAGAAGCTGTGAAGTTTAGGTTGAAGACATCATGGAAATATAATTGATTTTTGCATGGTTATATTTTATCTCGAGACTTGCATATTAGTTATAGAAGATTTTTGGAGATACTTTGGAATTTTTGCCTATAGATGGCCAATTATAATAGCACCATTTGTTTAGAAAGATACCTTCACTCTACTGAGCTGCTCCTGCACTTTTGTCAAAAATCAACTGGGCATATTTGTATCTGTTTCTCTGTTTACTATTGTGTTTCCCAGACTTATACATCTACCCCCCAATCAGTACTACACAGTCATGATTACTGTGGCTATAAAATGTCTTGAAATTATGTAGACTAATTATTTTCACTTCATATATATTTTTCAAAATTATTTTGGCCATTATAGTTCCTTTACATTTTCATATAAATTTTTAAATAATCTTATCTATAGCTACCACAAAATCTTGCTACAATTTTGATAGCAATTACATTCAACCTGTGTATCAATTTGGGGAGAATTGACATCTTTACTGTATTGAATCTTCCAGTCCATGAACATGGTATATCTTTCTGTTTGTTTATATCTTTCTTGATTTCTTTAATCAGTTTTTTGGGTAGTTTTCAGCCCACAAGTATCTTATATGTTTTGCTATATTTGCAAATAATCTCTTATGTTTTGAGCAGTTGTTAATAATATTTTAAGTTTTGGTGTCCATATGCTCATTGATACTATACAGAAATATATTTGATTTTCATTACCTATCTTGCATCTTGCAACCCTGCTGAGATGATTAACTCTAGAACTTTGAGATTCTTCTGGATTTTCTACATAGATAATCATCTTATCTGCAAATATGGATAGTTTTATTTCTTCCTTTTTAATCTGTATGCCTTTATTTTATTTCCTTGCTTTATTCTATTGGCTAGAACTGCCAATATTATGTTGAGTAAGAGCTGTGAGAGTGGGCACACTGGCTTTGTTCCCAGTCTTAGGGAAAAAAAGCATTGTTTTTGAACATTAAGTATAATACTAGCTTTTGGGCTTTTAAAAATATATTTTCTTTATCAAATTGAGGAAGTTTTCCTCTATTCTTATTTTTCTGAGAGATTTTATCATGAATAAATGTTGAATTTTGTTAAATGATTCTTTTGCATCAATTGATACAATCTTGGATTTTTTTCTAGATTATTAATATGAGAGGTTACATTGACTAATTTTTGAATGTTGAACATTCATGCATTCTGGCTGTGTACATCTGGAATAATTGGTTATGATATAATCATTGGTTATGGTATAATTCTCTTTATATATTGATGATTTCTATTTCCTAATATTTTATTAAAGGTTTTTTTACACCTATGTTTGTGAGGAATATTGATCCATACTTTCCTTTTTTCCTACTATCTTTTGTGTAGATTTGTTATCAGGATAGTAACAATAGCTCCATAAAATGAATTAAAAAGTGTTCTCTCCACATTATTTTCTGGGAGATATTGTATAGAATTGATTTTAGCTATTCTTTAACCACTTGGAAGAATTTTCTCATGAAACTATCTGGGCTTATATATTTCTACTTTTGAAGTTTTAAAATTACATATTTAATTTCCTTAATAGTTATAGTGCTATTTGAAGTATGTATTTGATATTGAGTGAATTATAGTTGTCTGTACTTTTTTAGGAATCAGTTCATTTTATCTAAGTTTCTGCAGGGTTTGTAGTGATATGCCCAGTTTCATTACTTGTGTAATGAAACTGGGCATATAATTGATTACTTGTGTCTTCTGTCTTGCAAGAGACTTGGTAAATTTTATTGTTTTTTTTTCAAATAACTGTTTCTTTGTTTCATTAATTTTATCTATTGTTTTCTGCTTTCAATATCATGGATTTCTGCTCCAATCTTTAGTATTTCCTTCCCTCACCTTGTTTTGAGTTTATTTTTCTTTTTCCTTTTTAGATTCTTGAGGTGAAAGCATATATTATTGATTTGAGGATTTTCCTTCTTTGTAATGTAAGCATTGAGTACTATAAAATTCCCTTCAGCACCGCTTCAGCTATGTTCCACAAATTTCAATATGCTGGATTTCCATTTTATTCAATTCAATGTTTTTATTTGTTTTTGTTAATTTTACTTTAGGTTCTGGGGTACATGTGCAGGTCTTTGAGGCATCTTCTTTGACCCATGGGTTATTTAGAAGTCTGCTGTTTAGTTTCCAAGGGCTTGAATATTTTTCTGTTATCTTTGTGGTTGGGTTTATGGTCCAGGATATAATCTATGTTGTTATTATGTTATGAGAATTCCCAGAAAGTATGTGTTTTCTGTTGTTTTGGGCCAGCGTATTGTATAAATGTCTATTAGATACTTTTGATCAATGTTGTTTTAGTTCTTATACATTCATAATGATGTTCTGTCAAGTTCTAGCAATTGTCAAGAAGGTGTTAAAGTTTTCAGCTAAATTTCTCCTTTCAGTTCTATCAGTTCTTGCTTTGCAGATTTTACAACTTATTGTTTGATGCCCATGCATTTTTACATTGCATATCTTTTGGTGAATTAACCATTTTGTCATTATATAATGCCCCTCTATGTTGTTGGTAGTTTTATTAGCTCTAAAATCTACTTTTTCTTCTCTCCTCTCCTCTTTTCTTTTTTAAATAAAGTTTTGCTTTGTCATCTAGGGCTATGATCTCAGCTCACTGCAACCTCCACTTCCCAGGCTCAAGTGATTCTCTTGCCTCACCCTCCTGAGTAGCTGAAATTACAGGTGTGAGCTATCATCTCTGGCCTAAAATTTACTTTCTTTGTTATTAATATATCAAATGTCTGCAAGGCATATTTGTATTTCCATTCCTTAATTTTCAATTTACCATGATCATTATAGCTTTCCCACTGATGTAGCTTCAGCAGCTACTGCCTCAATTCTCAAATATCCAGGCTAGCTTGGTGGCTCCTTTCCCCGTGGATCATTTAGTTAATTCACTCTGCCTATCTCTGCCTTTAATTAGTGTTTTTAAACCATTTACATTTAATGTAATTATTAATAGTTTAAGACTGATGTCTGCTATTTTATTTTGTGTCTTCTCCTTATTTTCTGTTTCTTTTTTTTGCCACTGTCTTTCTTGTCTCTCTTTTTTTTTTCTTTTCTCTTTAACATTTTTTGGATGTCCTTTTGATTAATTTATATAGTTTTGGAGTGTATCTCTTTGTATGGACATTTTAGTTATTGTTCAAATATCACATTTTATATTTATAACACTGGCTACTGATGTTAACATTTTACCAGTTCAAGTGAAATGTTGAAATATTACGCTTTATCCTTCCCTATTAAAAATATAATTGTTTTAAATATCTTTCCTGCATATATTCGTAAGAAGTATATGAGATAACATTACAATTTTTGCTTTAACTATCAATCATGAATTAGGAAACTCAAGAAGAAAGGGAAATGTATTTATTCATATTTTTACTCTTTTTAAAAATGAACTTCATAAAATCTAGATTGGCAAATTTAGAAATAAAATTTCTAGTTTAAACAGTCGATAACAAATTCCTTCCGAACAATTACAATGATGTCTGTATGCTATTTAACCTACTTACAGTTATTCTGTGATTTTTACAATAATGATACTCAGGTTCAGACAGAAAACATTTGAAAACACTGACCCAAGCCTCAGTTATATGTCTCTCATTGCCTCTCTTGGCATGTACAAGTTGATCATTTCTCAGTGTTTCTTCCTGAGTAAGTCAAAGGCATCAACCTTTCTCTCTTTGAGTTAGTCAGTTACCTTTGCTGATTCTTTGATGGCAGCACATGCAGATATATAATCAGCTGAGTTCAGCAGTATCTGGGGAGGTGACCGGCATGCCCAGTCTCACCATTTCCTACATGAAAGGCAGCCAGGATGACCCCACACGAGGAACTGTCCTTGCTCAAACACCGGGCACTGCAGCATGAGTGGCTCTCCTCTACTCCCCAGCTGCTGAGATTCCCATTCCTGGAGCCAAGTCCTTGAGCCACTAGAGGACACCAAGTGCCATACTTTTCTCCCTTTCTCAATGTCTACCCCAGCTTTGAAGAAAAACAAAGGTGGAGTTTTCTTGTATATCATCAGTGGATGAATGGATAAAGAAGATATGGTAAATATACACATTAAAATACTATTCAGCTCTAAGAATAGTACTAAATCTTATCCCATTTGCAGCAACATGAATGGAACCGAAGGTCATTATACTGAGTGAAATAAGTCAGGCACAGAAATATTGCATGTTCTCATTTATATATGGGAGCTAAAAATGTTGATTCCAGGGAAGTAGAGAGTAAAATGATAGTTAGAGGCTGAGAAGTGTAGGGGAGATGAAGACAGGTTTGTTAGTCGGTGCAAACATACAGGTAGAATAAGTTCTAGCGTTCAGTAGCACAGTAAGGGGAGGAAGGCAGCAAATCACACTGCCACATGTGTACCTATGCAACAATCTTGCATGTTCTTCACATGTACCCCAAAACCTAAAATGCAATAAAATACATGGAAGAAAAAATACTATGTATGTATATAATAATAATAATTATTATTATTTGAGGTGAAGTCTCACTCTGTTTCCCAGTGGCAACGATATTTGCTCACTGCAACCTCCGCCTCCCAGGTTCAAGCCTCCTGAGTAACTGGGATTACAGGCATGCCACCATGCCTGGCTGATTTTGTATTTCTAGTAGAGACAGGGTTTCACTATGTTGGCCGGGTTGGTCTTGAACTCCTGCCCTTAAGTGATGCACCTGCCACGGCCTCCCAAAGTGCTGGGATTATAGGCATCAGTCACCATTCCTGGCCAGAGTATATTGTAAATTTCCTAATCTTCTTTCCTAAAAAGATTTGAAATGTTTCTGACACACATAAATGATAAATGTTCAAGGTGATGGGTATACTAATTACCCTCATTTGATCATTGCACATTATATGTGTGTATCAAAATATCACATGTACCCCATAAATATGTACAGTTATGATGTATCAATAAACACACACATAGTAAACCTGCTGTATGCCTTTGTGAACCAAATTTGAAATAGAGATGAAGAAGCATACTTCTAGGATAAAACAAAAATGGCAATTTGAAAGTCCCTGAAGAGAAACTTGGCTTTGAATCAGCTTCTGCATTTTTCTACTTCCATATAATATGATAATAACATTTCCCTCCCATGATTATGTGGGGATTAAATGTAAAAGCTGACACTACATAACAGTGCATCACTAGTACCACCTGAAGACCTTTAGTGTCCACAACTAACACGTTGTGTTGCACACGTTCGTACTTCCTTTGATTAAATGGACCTAGAGCCTATCTTACTTACATGGGGGACTTCTTAACAGGGGGCTTTCAGAATGTCCCCTGACATTTCATGGTCATATGATTTATATATTTTAAAATATTTACCTATAGTTACTACTTTAATACACTTTAAATAAAACAAGCACATTTTTTTTTTTTCTTTTAGCGACTGTGGCCTAGTTGTCAGATTATTTGTGAGTCAGCTCACAAATAATAATTCACAAATCAGCTCACAGATAATAATTCACAAATCAGCTCACAAATAATAATTAACAAATTAGCTCACAAATAATAAGTCAAGCTATGAATCCATAAATTGATAGAATGTGAATTAGTAATTCTTTAAAGAAAGACTCTTAGAAATGACCTTAGTCTTTTAGGCCATCTCTAATTTGAGGCAGGAATTGGAATGTGTCATATTTTAGGCACTGCTTCAATACATGTTTCATTCATTTATTCATTCACTCAGTGATTACTGACTGTGCATGTACTATATCCATGTGGTTTGTTAGGCATGGGGTGAAAAGGTCCCTAAGACATTTAAAATCATGTGAAAGAGTATTTAAAGCAGGCAGAACCTACATTGAGTGTGGTCATGTCCAATATTTATTTTCTGCTCATTCTGTGACAGGAAATGTTCCAAGTGTATTACCTGGATTCATTCATTTGATCTTCATAACAAATTGGGGAGCAGGGTATTCGGAGTGCTGAACTCTCTGCATGCCTGTTCTACAGCTGAGGAAATGGAGATTCGGAGCAAGTTGCTGTGACAGAGTTCCCACCCAGGCAGTCTGAATCCAGAATCCGGGCTTTTAATGACTATGCCATAGAGGATGCTAGAACATGGTGAAAAAGTGCCCAATTCAGCAAATGGCTCGGGACTGGGAACTGTCACTGCTTGCTTCTTATAAGGTGGTAGCCAGAAGCCAGGTATGGGGAACATGCCTTCTAAAAACAGGGCATTGGCCTTGGGCAGTTCATGAATGTGTTCCTGAAAAATAAGAAAACACAAAACGAAATGCTTCTAAATGTTATAAAAAGAGGAGAGGAAGGGAGTGGGTGCGAGGAGCCCACGGAACAGTAGCCTGTGGGGAGATAAGAGAGCAGTCAGTGAGAATGGCAGGTTCTCTTCTCATTTCTGTGACTATGTCATTGAGACATATGCTCCAGCCGTTTCCATTCCTGCTGTTTGCCAAGATCCACCCGCTCCCCCGACTGGCCCCCACGCAGGACGTTCTCTCCGCTGACGCCCTCACCATCCTAGCCTGGCAACACAGGCCTCCCCTCCGCGCTGTTTCCTGGGGAGCAGATTCTGGCCCCCAACGGTGTGGATCCCTCCGTTGCATATTTTCCCACCACCCGCGGGTTTTCCCTCCTAGCCCTCACCATAACTGTCATGACGTCACTGTTTGCTAAGTGCCTGTTAATCGACTGACTGGCCCTTCCTCCTGATTCTGAACTCAATGAAGACAAGCGCTGACTCTCTTTTGTTGATCACTGCCCACCTTCACCTTGGGATGAAGGGCCAAGTTCAAAGTAAGTACCTGCTGTGGAATGGAATGTGGCCCCTCTGCCCATTCCAATAAAAAAAAAAAAAAAAAGTGAAGTCACAAGAAAAAAGAAAAACAGATATGTTGCAGTCCTAAACCCTGGCACCTTAGCATATGACCTTATTTGGATATAAGGTCTTTACACCCAGTTAAGATCAGGGCATTAGGGTGACTCTGATCCAGGATGACTAGTGTCCTTCTAAAAAGGGGAAATTTGAACACAGGCACACACACAGGAGGGGGGCATGTGAAGATGAAGGCAGAGATCAGGGTGACGCTTCTACAAGTCCAGGAACACTGAAGGTGGCCAGGAAAGCACCGGGGCTGGGGGAGAGCCCAGGACAGAGTCTCCCTCACTGCCTTAGAGGGGACAAACCCTGTCCACACCTTGATCTTGGAGTTTTGGCCTCCAGACCATGAGATGGTGCATTTCGGTTGTTAACCACCCAGTTTGTGGGACTTGGTTGCAGCAGCCCTAGCATGCCAGCACAGTGTCTCCTAACACTACTTACGGGATGCAGGAGGGAAGAAATGATGGATGGAATCACTCAGCCCTTCCCCTTACTTGGAATAAGGGTGCACAGTCAATGTTTGTTGCTAATGCGATGCTCACCATGTGTCATGTTTCATTTGTTTGTTTGCTTTATTTCTTCTTGTTAATTTCAAAACCATGAGAGTTTAACTTTGTATAGCTCTTAAAAAACCCAAAATGATATCTAACCTCCAAAATATTTTGATTATTTTTCACCCCTCTGGGTTTTTGACCCAAGAGAAGGGAGCAAATAAAAAGATTGTGGTGTCTCCTGAGACCATGTGTGAAACCAGGTATAATCATAAAATCTCAAAAATCACATATCGTAGAACCAGCGTGCAACTGTAAGGGGAAAATATGAGTCATCCAAGCATTTGTGATGATCTTGTCATGCACCGATTGGTACCTGGCAGGCTTAGTTTTCTCTAGGATTTCTGCCACCAACTGTCACTGCATACTTTTCAATTTGCACTTCCCCATCATTGCCAAGAGTGAAGTACCTCCATGCGACTTGTAATTACAGAACTGCTCCCACCGCCCCCTCCCCAAATCCCTGGAGGTTAACTTTGCACATTTTGACAAAGTAATTTCTTGATTTTGTTTTCTGTATGAATCATTGAAGGTTTCCTGAACAAGTGCTATTGTAAACAGAGAGTCAGCATCAACACCAGAAAGTGCTTCCTCCTCTGACAGTTTAATTGTTCTCCTGATTCCCATGCTTTTCACTCTTTATGAAATACGATGTTTTCTCTACATTTTGTGCAAATACAGGTATGAAAACATTGGGCTGGTTTGTAAGTTAGAGCTAAAGTGTAGTTAAAAGGCAAATGTGATTTTTGCAAATAGGTACATAGCTTCTTTCAAGCCAGCTTCGAGGTTTCTCAGGAACTTCTGAATGGCTTGAGACTGATGTCCCAGGAGGCAGAACATCGAGGGAAAGCAGGGGATTCTCTGAAATGTTATTCGGTGTAACTGGGCCCTCAACTGCCACTTGAAACGTTAGTTCGTCATTGGCCCTTTGGCCGATGGCACAAGTACCTCAGCTGCCCTGGAGGCTGCCTTTCTGCTACGTTAACCTGCTCTATGGTTCAGGGCGAGCCTTGGTGTTTGCCATCCATGCAGCCACTGTGGGTTTACTTCTTGTCCAAGGCAAAGCCCTCCACCTGTCTCTCAACCCCCTGACCTCCCATTCTTTGAGTTCTTGCTTTGCCACCTGTATCTGTTCTGTATCTTCAGATTCCCGCCTCTGGCTTTTTCCTGGATTCTTGATCTCAGCCTGTTAGTGCGTTTAAATATACACCATACTTAAAACAAATCAGCAAAACAAAACAAAACCCTTTTAACCAGACTTTTCCTTGAAGGACAGCCCTCTTGTCTCTTTTCCTTTCTTGCAGAAGCCTGCACAATCAACACTTCTCATTTTCTCTTTCTCACTTTCCATTCACATTGACTACTACACTGCCACCTCCCTATACCTGCTCTCATTAAAATAACCACTGTTTATCTAATTTCTAAATTAGGAGACTGTTGCTCCTCATCCTCCTTGGCTTCTGAAGCACCTGACAATGTTAACTGAGCATCGGTGTGCTGAGCTAAGACCAGGGAGTTTGGTAGCTAGAAAAGGAACAAGTGGGCATCTGAGGTCAATGAATGGTTCTGAGGTGAAGTATAATTCCCTACTGGGAATCACTGACAGACTCAGCTTCCCTTATGTGCTTCCCTTATGGTCAATTCATGGCTCATGGATGTAGGTGGGGAGGTATCATGGACCACAGCCAGGATCAGGGAGGGCATTTTTAACCAGGCTGCCTCCCCTGAATCTGCTCTAAAGACGTGACTACTTTTTCCTCATAATTTTATAGGATCTTTTATGGCTAACTCATTTTATAGAATAAGCCAGGGGTTGTCAACTAGTTTCTATAAAGGGTTAGAAAGTAAACTGTAGCCTTTGTGGGCCATACATTTTCTGTGTCAATAACTCAACCACGTTGTTGTAGCACAAAAGCAGCCCACAGACAATCTGGGAATGGATAAGCGTGGCAGGTTGTCCAGAAACCTTCACCTACCAAAACAGAAGGCAGGCCGAGTTTGGTCCAAGGGATTAAATTATCTTATAGAGCAATTTGACTTTGTATTTAATTTGATACATTGGTTGAAAAAAAGAAAATGGGTTCTGCCTGTACTGATTTTCTGGAATGTGCATCTGACTATGCATGTTTATTTGTATGATCTTTGTCAGCCCTAGAAATAAAAAAGGCTTACATGTGAGTGCTAGTTTAGGTTTTGGCTAGTATATTAAATCACTGCCTGAATGTTTGGTCAATCTTGGCCAAGAGGACCAAGGCTACTTCTAATTCCTGCAAAAAGCTTCAAAACCTGCCAGCCTGGTGAAGGGAGGGATATGTGTTGACTTTCAAAGCCATAAATTTACTATCAGGATTATTCATCTTTAAAGACACTGATTTGTCTTTCAGGGACATTTCTAAAATGTCAAAATAAATAGCACTTGACATTTAAAAAAATAGTATTGAATGCTCAGTAGAGGGTGAGTAGGAGAAGCATCTGGACATGTGGAGGCTAGGTTCCTGGTACCCCTGTTCATTACTCTTTTTGGAGTGATGGCAAAAGGTGGTCACCACTACATCTTTGAATCTGTTTAATCTCCAGCTGTGAATATGTGATCAATCATATCTTGGACACAAACGACTTTCCCCAGGACCAGCAATGATTTCCATGTGGTTGCAAGGGCTTTATGTACGTACAGTTCTCACAGGGGTCAGCCCTAATGATGTCATCTCTCGACTTGGCGTGACTCACAGGAAGTGAGATTCAATGGCCTACAAAGGGGATATTGCACTTACCACTTGTACGGTTGACTTTAACTAACTTACTGTCTTGGGTGGGTTGTGACCCAGTTTTCTTCCTAATAGAAATGAGAGAAATAATACTTACAAGTTTGCAAAGCTCCCTGAAATTTCAAGTGTAAGATACTATCAAAGTGAAAATTATTATAATCCCTTCTCAGTTGCTGCCTTCTATTTACAAACAGCTGACTTGTTCCTCCCACTTCTGGATGAGACATAGAACCAGCACCCAAAGCAAATTCAAAAGTTTTTAAAGGAAACGTGCGTTCCATGAAACATGGAAAATTAGGAGTGCAACTTTCAGAGTGTGCGGAAACGCAGATTACCTGCTGCAGACTTTTCAGGCGATTTGGCTAAAATCCCTTCATGGATGGTGATGTATAGGGTGAATTTAACTCAGCAGATAAACACTTTTCCATTCAAATGTGAACCTAGAGAGCTATCTAAGGCAAAACCATTTTAAAAGAATCTTTATTCTCTGTAGTTTCTTGGAATTAAAATTTCTTAAAAGAATTTTGTTTTATTTTTATCCATTTTAAAGCATATCATTGCAAGTACATAAAACCCACCTTTAGAATCCCCACTTCCACCATTTTCAAAATGGATAGGGCTGGCTGAGCACTGGCATGACATTTGTGGGGGTTTTCTAAGTTGCATTCTGTCATGTGCTTGGTGAAATATGGCAAAGCATATGGACGGTGGGTGATTCATCTCCATGTAAGATTTCCTGGGAAAAGCTGGGATGCATTCAGTTTGCAGAATTTCCCCCATGGTAACCCGCTGAAGTTTTTGCCTTAATAAAATGGAAGGGTTTGCTCTATTTCCGATTTTCAAGTGAATGATCTCCAATGTGCTTTCCAAATGAATGTTTTTCTCATTTTTTGACTTGTGTGACCCTATCTACTTTTCCAGTCTTAATCACGCGGGTATCACCCAATTCAGGAAGCTGGAAGGAATCTTTTAGTTTACATGTTCAGTGGAGCTGGTGGGAGTCAGTACTGAGTCTCTTGCAGTTATAGGTGTCCCTAAGTGAAAGGACATTATT